GTGTTGGTATTAGAAATACGTCCCCTCGTTTCTTTGTTGCTCTCCATGTACTTCATGTTTGAAAGCTCCTTATGATCTGAAGCCAGTCGTACAGTAAGTGGAAATTGGCAGCACCAGAAACTCCGCATATGGCTGTGAAGGTTTTTATGTAAATCCTGTGCTGCAGATGACAAATGCTGAATCCAGAAGTTGCCTTTTGTAAGCTGTAACCCTGATTCACTAATACCTGTGGTGTGTGGCATGGGAACGTGCACCATTTAACTCGGTGGAAAGCTGTGGTGTTAAAATACTGTTTATAATTTTATAAATATATATATATATAATCCATCCTCGCAGCCTGGCCCCCATGCATCTTCAGCAAAGCTTCGCAGGAGATGCAAGGAGAGAGCTCAGCCAAAATCGTCAGGTTGTGAGGCGCCCAAAGAGAGTGCTCCAAAGCAGGGCGAGTCAGAGCTGGACTCTGACAGAAAGGGGCGAGTTTGCTCCACCGAGCAAGACGTGGCTTTCGGCTATAAGCAAAAAGCCGGCAAAGGCGGAACGCTGTTTTCCTTCTCCTTGCAGCTCCCAGAGTCATTTCCTTCCCTCCTGGATGACGACGGCTACCTGTCGCTCCCTAACCTCTCCGAAACCAACCTCCTGCCTGCCAGCGTGCAGCACTACCTCCCCATCCGCTCCCCCTCCCTGGTGCCTTGCTTCCTCTTCATTTTTTTCTTTCTGCTCTCTGCCTCTTTCTCAGTGCCATACGCCCTCACTCTCTCCTTTCCTCTGGCTATGTGCCTCTGCTACCTGGAGCCCAAGGCGGCCTCCTTGAGTGCCTCACTTGCCAATGACCTGAGTGACAGTTCAGAGGAAGAGGTGTGTACCTCGGCATCGAACACACTCTTTTTCGTGTTCAGTGCTTCAGTCCTAACCAGTGTTAGATTGCTGCAATAGTGGTCCTACTTTCAGAGCCTCATTTCTGTCTGTGCTGATATGTTAGAAGGGGTGTTTGGGGGTTTTTTTGGTCTGGCCGTTGGGGTGGGGTTTTTTTTTTTCCTTCTTTTTCCTTTTTTTCTCGTGTTGGGAGTGCAGCTTGGGGCCCAGGGTTAGGCACAACACTGTGTGGAAGTGGCTTGGTTTGAACTGTGTCAGCTGCTGCAAAGTGACTTGCTCTAAACAAATTGCCGCTAATCAGCCCTGAAGTTTTGCATCGGAACCCACCAAGACCTTTTCTTCCCCCTGTCAGTTTATACTAGGGTTAGAATAGTTATCTGAATAGTGGGAATTAAGTACAATTCCCTGCATAATTATATATGCATGCATGTGTGTGTGTGTATGTATATACATTACATTGATATAAATAGCTAGCCAATAATAATGGGCACCCTCACCAACTTCAGGGTGTTCAAAATTCAGGTGGACTCAGCTTTTTGCAAGAGTCCATTGACTGTAGCCTGAGCCCAGAAAAGGCTTTCTGGTCCAACAAAACCCGGATCCGGATTTTCAGCCTTGATCCCATCTCTGCTGCAGATTAAATTGTTTCCCCATGCTTAAGGCCAGTGTATCAGTGAGAGGTCCGATGGGGACAGCTGTTCTGCAGCTGTTTGGGGAGCATGCCATGCGGGCTGGCTTGCCATTCGCAGTGTTATATCAGCACTGCCAAAACTGATGCCTCAAGCCACCAGGGTTATCACAGGCAGCTAAACCAACTGCAGGAGGAGTCCACAGTGGTTCTGGAAACTGTGGAAATGGTAATATATCCAGAAGAAGGAAAGGAATCTGCTTGTTTTAAGTAACACTGGCATCTCAGGTTTTCTGGTGCCTCAACTTATTCTTTGTTGACAGAATAAAACGATGAGTTCATTTTTTCCTCATTTCTCCTTTTCCCCCTTCATTTTCAAATGCAAAAATAGAGTTTTGCTTTGTATGTGGGGAAAAAAAAAAAACAGGTCAGATAAGCACAGACTAGTTGGCCGTTTGTAACAAGCCATCTTGGCCACTTGTCGATGCCGTTGCCTTAGTTGTCTTCAATAAACCAGCTTGAGCATCTAACTGTTTGTGTAATCTGCCGCTGTTGGTTTTATAAGACTTGATGCAGGATTTCATTTCCTTTGTATGGAAAGCCAAAAGTCACATCAATTTATCTTGTGAAAACATTGTCTTTAGACGCTTTTGGCTCTGTGATGCCTAACAACTAAGTAATAATGTGCAATTTCTGATAAAAGGCATCCAAAATGCTGCTGTCTCATTCTGTGTCCTCATTTTGAGATGGCATTTAGGTTTCAATTTGCATTAGCTCTGCACTTGGATTAATCTAATAGCAATAACAGCATTAATACAGCGCCAGCTCCAGAGGCAATAACGAGGCCGTGTTTATGTCATACATTGGTCTGTTCCTCTTTCAGAAATGGGCACTTCTTTTTGTTAGTAAAGTTAGGAAGTATTGAGAGTAAAAATGTATAAAATAGGCTTTTTAGTGTCGCTCTTTTATGAGGGTGATTACTCTGGCAGTGCTTCCTGACAGACAACACAGACTTGTGCCTAATCCAGGGGGTATTTCTTGTTCCAAATATTGCATGAAACTGAATATGTTTTAAACTCGGGCATGTCTGCATTACATTGGCAAAACAAATCACAGCAGTTACGATCGCAAGCTAGAAGGAGGCGCAGCCGCAGCATCTCAGGAGGTAGCTGCCTGCTCCATCCCTCGCCCGCCCCTGAGCCCCGCCAGCAGCGGCACCACAGCCTGTCTCGGAGCAGGGCCCGAGCTTTCTTACTTTCCACTCCAGGGGAAACCTGCCTTCCCAAGCCTTAATTCGCCATCCCCTGCTCTGCGGTAACCCCCAGATCTTTATTTCCAGTAACCCTCTCATGTCGCCTTTGACTCCGTGGTTGTCGATTGGCTTGTTAGCGGACATGTATGTTGCAACAAAGAGCAATTTAATGCTGTATTTAGGATTTCATTGCTGGTATGGTAAAAGAAATAGCAACCTTTTTCCCCCTGCCCAGTTCACAAAAGATTGCACACTGATGGAGAAGGCTGCAACTGGTGCCCTAAACCAATCTCAGACCCTGCTGAGCTCCGTTCTCCCTTGAGCAGTGCATCAGGAGGCAGTCCCTGCCGTCAGAGACAGAATCTCAGCCCTTAGATTTCATTAGCTTCTGCGTTCATACCTTAGCAGCTAATATTTCTATTGACTAAATGCCTAGATTCATTAATTCCTCTTTTTTTTCTGTAAATAAGACTGACAATGCGTAGATTTTTTTATATATATTGCCATAGCTTTACAATTGCTTATGATGTTGCAAAGATGTGAGATACTTCACTAATAAAGGAACAATTTTCTAACACCTCAGTGAAAGCAATTTGACCAGCTAGGTAGACTATTTTGGCATTACAGTTTCATTTAAAAATAAAAGCGGTCTATCTAGTGAGTGATTATTGCTTGAAAAAGTGCATATAACTTGCATTCATGCACTTACCAAATAGTCCAAATTGCCTGCTTATTCTTCTGCCTGTCATACAAGCAATATACGTTATTCAAAGGAAGGAATGATAGAGAACAAAGCAGTGAATAAATACCCCAAAAGCAGTTTTATGAAACACTGGAGTCGTCAGAGAATGACAGGAGATGGGGAATTCAAAGTTAAGGCTGATACTCCATCCACCTGTAGGTTGCTTTTTTCTTTTGTTTCGTACGGCTGTGGTTTGAGGATGAGACGTATTGTCCTACCTTTAAATTACCTGCCTGGGTTGCTTTACATTATCTGAGGACCACAGAAAATCGCTAATCAAAACCAGAGCTTTCACTGATGTTAGAAGAACTTGGATGTGCCAATCTGGAGCAGTAGGGAGCACTTTCCTTACTTACTAGTTTTCCATAAGTTTGCATAACATCAAAAATAGTCGTTTGAACTCGCTTCTCAGCCTGCAGTAACCTACACTCAACTCTCTGTTTATTAAATCTCGACACGTGCATTCACCACTAAAATGTTCTCCGCGGTGTCGAGCAAAGCAGGGATAGATCAGTCTGTGCAATGCTGTGCTTTGTTTCATTTTTATCACTTGTACCTAGTGTTTTCGGGGGGGGAGTTACTTTTATTTTTCTCCTGCTTTCATCCATGTTCTTAAATGGAATGAGAAGTATTTTTTTTTTTATTCTTTTAATGGCAGTTTTCTTTCTTTTTACTATTTGTTAACAATATCAGCTGCTCTTTATTGGAACCGAGTGGGATCTGAGCCTTACCATTACTCCTCAGACAGACAGTAGATGGGCTGGGGGTATGGTTATTGGAACTCCTTGGTAATGCAGACAGCCTCATGGTGTATAAATGTGGAGACAAGAACAACTTCTGTACAAATGAGGGGCTGAAAGTCAGGTGACTGTTAAAGTAGCCTTTTTTTTTTTTTTTTTAATTTTCTTTTCCCCCTCCAGATAAAAAGTCAAATGCCACATTAATCTACATTGGCTAGAACAAAAATTTGATGACTAATTCTCTTTAAAAAAAAAAATATTCTGGGAGGAAAAGTTTGTTTAGAAAATATTAGCTTTTTCCCCCCCCCATTTTTTTTAAAGCCACCTGGCTTTCTTCAGAAAAAAAATCTGCTATTCAAATAACACTTCTCCAGTAATGTTTTGTTTGGCTTATAAATTTGTTCCAGTAAAGCCATACACTGTGTACAGTACGCCTCAAGTCTTCCTCTGAGTCTGTTCTGTTTACTAATATAGCACTTTTATTTTGCTTCTTTGACTTGTGCGTGGTTTGAAAAGCAATGCTAATGCAGTTTGCAGGGATGTTGAATTTTAACAGTTCCCCGTCCGAGCCGTGTGTACTGATGAGCTGGGTTTATTCTTTATTCCTGCCTTCCTCTTGGGACCCGGTTACTTGTCTAACCAAATAGACTGACAGTGAGCAGACGGATACTGCAGCTGATGGTGAGACCACTGCCACCGAGGTTTGTACAGTTGCCGGCACCCAGTTATGGCAGGGGAGAGCGTTTTGCCTCGTCTCTTCCCGACCCCGAGTGCCAAACTGCATGTCTCCTGCGGCAGTTCAGGATCCCTCTCGGCGCGCGTGTGCATGGGCGGGCGGGCGAGCGCGAGAGCTTTGCTCGGCGAGTCCAGTTTTTCCTGCCAGTTCCTCTTATTTCTCTGTTTGGTTTGGAAACCGCCAGGCTTCTGTGCTGTGCGGGTAGCGGGGCGGCGGCAGCGTCACCCACGCCAGTGCTGCCCACCGTGGCCAGATTGTGCCCTGGGCCGTTCAGTTGGGCTTGTTTGCTCTTACAGTCTGCAGCCTGCGTGAGAGAGAGGGGTGGGGGGAGACAGTAAAAAGCAGTTTTCAAATTTTCTATATGGAAGTATTTCCGGATTTTCCTATCTAAGGTTTTCCTTGAAGGTACACGTGTCATCTTCACGTATTGCCACCAGTAGTCCAGGTATTGTCGTCAGACGAGGAACGTGAAAAAATTGCCATTTCCTTTGCACTGAGAAGCCTCAAATCCACCACATGGTATATAGGCTGTGCAGCAGGCAAATTCAACCCTATGTGACTCCTGTGAAGTGCATATACTGCTTTCATAATTAATACGGTTGCAGCTGCAAACATGAGCTGAATTCGGTCTGACATCTGGTGGAAGACAGAGTCTTACCACAAACACTACTGTAGGTCTTCAATAGGATCTCATTAATATTGCAGACTGCTAAAACTATCGTCAAGGAAAAATTCGCTGTATGATGTGTCAGGGCAATTCGGCCTTGGCTGTAAATAGAATAGATTTGAACTGAGTTATAAAGTAATCAACAGATAAAGATTTTCCCGTGGGTCATTTGACTAATTAGGACTATATGAAAAATTAACAATAAAATAGTGGCACGAGCAATGAATGCAATGTGTATGCCATTCCAGAAAGGCACCACTGCAGACAGATCCCAAAAGATTATATACAGACTAAATATGAAATGGAATTATTTAAATAAAAAAGGGACTGGGGCTAGGGACATAGCATTTTAAGCAAGTAAAATGTACTTCGTTCCGTAGAAGGTGTTGCAGGTCATTTACCCATGGCAGGTTTATGCAAAGTTTTGCCTGTGGCCCAGGAGATTCCATACATTTAAACCCCGGGATTAGGGAGTCCCAAAGAATTTGCTGTTGCCATTCAGTCCCAAACCAGCTGCGGTCTCGGTGAGAGGGTCCAACTGCTGCTCCCTAAATAGAGATCTATGGACGTGGAGTACACCGGTGACATTTATAAAAGGGAAATGTTTAATATTCCTTTGTTCACAATTAACAAGTTCGAAAAGAGGAGGCTTGTTCTGAGTTAGGAGAACTGTGCAAAGTCAACCAGTGTGTCTCCTCCTCCTCCCCAAGCCCTCAGAGTAGAGAAAATGTGCCCTTAACCTAGCGTGTTCCTCTCAGCAATTTTTGTAAAGCCTTCGGCCATACGAGTGGGTAAGGTGTTGTTTTCCAATCTTTCTCATGCTGGCAGTCGGATCAAGAGGAGGACGGAGATCTAAAGGCACAGGTACAGAAATGGAAGGCCCAGATGGTGCTCAAGTACCAATGTTGGAGGTGTTCACCTCTCTCAGCATGTTACTGTCGGTTCTCTGTGAAGAAATGTGTAGAAACAGCATTTTGTATCCTTTCAATACTGTGTCCCTTACCTTTCCCTTTCTTTTTCACTTCTTTCAGAATAGTCTGATTAAGCGAATACAGGGTGAAAATGTGTATGTCAAACATAGTAATCTTATGTTAGAGGTTGGTATTGGTATATACCAGTGCATGTACGTACATGTGTGTTAGTTTTAGTGGTAAACTGTGAATCTGCACTATGATGCATGAACCGTGTATTCCCACCTGCTAATAAATCAAATAGATTATTTTTTTTCTCAGACTATGATGACTCCTCTAACTTTTACTATAAATATATATATGCGTGCGTGTATGTGTTTGTGCGTCCACGCGCATATGTATGTTTGTTTGAAGCCTCTTTATCAGGTGTAAATTTTAGCGATACGGATTAAGCGTTCTTTAAGAGTATTTTTATACTCACTTGTACGAGATATGCTATGCTGTTATCTTTCAAAACACCACATTTTCACAGAGTGTTGTGTTAGTGCTGTGCTCCCCGGCTCCCTGAGATGTTACTTCCCTCTTTACTAACCAAGTTGTGTGTTTTGGCTCTAAAATTTGGTTGGCTTAGGATGTATTACAAACTGCTCTATTCTTTTAAAACTGTCCAGGACCTAGACAAAACCCAGGAAGATCTGATGAAACATCAGACCAATATAAGTGAGCTGAAACGCACCTTCTTGGAAACCTCCACAGAAACGGCTGTGTCTAATGAGTGGGAGAAGAGGCTTTCCACATCTCCCGTTCGGCTTGCAGCAAGGCAGGAGGAGGCTCCTATGATTGAACCACTAGTGCCTGAAGAGGTCAGCGTGAGCTGAAAGGCTTCATTACGTATTTGTCTATTCGTTTTTGCTTATAATAGCCTTCAGTAGATTAGAGGCCGCAGTTAGAGGCCATTCCCCACTTGCAGGTGCTCCCTTTTTCTCAGGCTCTAGCAGCAAGCATGCAAGGGAGAGCAGATACCTTATATATATGTGTATATATATATGTATAGGTAGAGCACGAAACTCCCTGTAAGCCGCATGGCAGAATTGGGTCTCTCTGAGGGTGTGAGACGTAGGCTTCCTTACAGGCTCGGTAAGCTTAAGGGAGTCCAACCATGCGTGAAAGAAACCATGAAGGTGATGGAGAGAAAATTTAAGTCATGGTGACTGGTTGGGAGCAGCAGCGTAGCAGGACGGATGGGGGTACCAAGCTTGACAAGAAAATACAGAGCAAAGGGCAGAACTCTCTCTTTGTCTTTGAAGGTGAGGAAGAAATAATGATGATAATTAGACCTGCTTGGCCAGTTCCATAAGGGAACTGGTAGTGGCTGCAGTCTGCTGGATACCGTTTCATTGAAGACCCAGTGCAGATTGCCAAGCGTGTGCGTTTTCATGTGTGTATGTGTGAAAAAATCTTGCTTACCGTGCAGTCTTGAAGAGTTTTCAAGAAACTTGCCAATTAAGAAACTGCCTTTTATTTAGTTTATGGGTAGATAATGAGACGGAGAGGGAATAATGTAACATTCACATTGCCATAAAGTATGTAGATCTTCAAAAAAAGCAGAGTCTTGGTTTGAATCCAGTGCAGCAAAACCAAACATATTTGTGTGGTCTGCACAAAGGTGATTTCTTTTTTATTCTATTGTGGATGGATGTTTGGTTTCCTTCTCACAGGAATCATCTTTATGGCTACCACTTGTTTTTAGCATTACAGACCAACAAATGGTCATAAAATTTGCTTCTGTCACCTCAGCACTGATGTAATGTTGTAAGGAACTCTGCGAAAATTGGCTGGGAAGGATAATTTCGAAAGAGTCTTCTGCTTTCCCACCTTAGAGGTTAGCATTGCAGACCCGCAGCTCTCTGGGGAAGGGAATCCCTGGAGGCACCCAGATAACACACGTCCGCTTCTCCTCTTAGGGAAGGGGATGTTGCCAAGGAAAAGGCCCCAGCCTCTCTTCTTCTACATCTAACCGGTGGCTGATACAGACATCAGACACGCGTTAGAGTGGCCATCAAGTTGCATTAAAATATCTAAAAAGCAGACTGGGTGCCCAAAGCTTACCTTTTGGAAGGAGCACTGAGGAGTCTTAATCTTGCTCCTACTGCCTTGTTCAGGAATAATAATAGATCCTATGACCACGTTAGTTTGGTTGTAGTTGAAAATAGAGGTTGTTTTTCTTAAAAGTAAAATTGTAGTATAATAAACGGGAGGCATTTAACATATTAAAGATGTAAGGAGCTGTTGAAAGGGAGCAGCTGGCTAGCTGAGCCCGAATCAGAGGAGTGCAGGTGAAGCAAACTTGTAATGCCCCCAGTTCATTTCATGTCTTTATTACTTTAGAAAATTAATAACAATTTTTAATTAAAACTCACAAGCAGTAGCAAAGCATTACACGCTTATGTAGGCTTCACCCTGAGGAAACACATCCAAATTTAACCATTCATTTGGAAAGGAAAAGGTACCTTCTTGTACCTCTTCTCTTACTGGAAGAAAAGGACTTGCTCAAAAGCAATGTCCAGTTACTCTATCTTATATGGATCTAAGTAGACTACAGCTGCCCCACAGAATCTCATCCAGATGAAGGCATTTCTGTGGAAAAATGTGAGTGGATTTGAGCTATCAGAGCCTAACTCTGAGGTGACTTCTGGCACTAAGGGGCCCCTGCTGTAGATAACATCTCACCATCCTTTTTGCTCCTACTAAGCGGGATGGTTTCTGTTCCACATGTTCTGCTGAGAGAGGAATTTTTCAGGAAAAAACTGAAGTCATGCATAGGTCAAAATCAGCACCTTGATGCCTACTAAGAAATGCGGAGGCAGTCAGGATAGAGAGCACGTAGAACTGCGTTATGTAGTAGCTTCTTCTAGTCAAAGAAGTTACGCCTTTAACTTAGCATATCCACTTTAAAAAATTATCCAGTGCTGTAGCTCTTTAACTCTTTAGCAAAATAAAACAAGAACAGAAGGGAAAAGATTCATTTGAAAAATGTGTGCTTTGAGCATTTGGTACCTGTACGTGTTCAGTCAGTTTGACTTCAAGCCCATCAAGTCACCAGTTGGTTTCTTAGAATAATAAGGGAAATACTTTGGTTTTCTTTAGTTATGAAAAACATTGTTTTAAATATGATGGCCAGATAGCTGCAGAACATGAAAGCCATCGTATTAACAAACTCTTTGACAATGTTTAGTCTGACCTGGATTGGATTAAACCAGCACTTTAGAAATAAAGAAGTTGTGCATCTCGTTACAGACAGGGAGATGAGCTGTTTCTCCCTTTCTCTCTCAAGTATCTTTCTTTAAATGTGTGCCTTTCTTCTTGAGCACGTGGAGCATATGTATTTAAAACAGTACCCTAGGAACAGTACCTTAGGAAATTGAGTCTTACCAACATTTAAAACTGTCCCAGTTGGTCAAGTTGCAGAGATACGCTTCTCATTCTGACAGCATTGGGAAGGCAGAGGTGGGATAAAGGCGAGGAAGATTTTGGTGTCACGCTATGGAGGGTAATACAGTAATGGTTAGCTTCCTGCGTGGGAACAAGACTCTGAGACCTCTTGTACCTGTAAGGAGAAAAGGAGAGGTGAGATCTTTGCAGAGCACAACTTCTGCCTGCTTCAGCGGGGAAGGCTGCAAACTCAGGAAAGAGCTAAGTGCAGGGTGAAGGCGGAGGGTCCTGTTCCAGGCTATTGATGGAAGCCGTGGAAGTTGGCAGCAGACACAGTTAAATGAATAATGGAAGATGAAATGAACACAGGGCATCCACACCTGGTGTTAATTCAATTTACCATTTTCCCTGCTACGCAAACAGTATGCTCGTGTCTGCTTTGCATTCATCACAGAGACACACTGATTTCACTTCTTATTGGAAACTTCTTTGCTGTAAAATTATTCTGTTTAATCCTGTTCTGTTTCCTAATTTACCGTGCAATTAGTAATGCGGAGAGTGTAGAAATATGATGAGCTATTTTAAAGTATAGTGGACTATATACCCGCCATTTACTAAAACCATTTATTCCCCTGACATTAGACCAAAGAAGAAAGAGAAAAATCAGAAAAGCTCATATTTTTGCAGAAGGGAGGTACTACATTCCTTGAATTGCAGGTAAAAACAAATACTTTCTTGAAATGCAGTCTGATAGGCTGGCAGTGATTTCTTATTTTATTATCTTTTTTCCTTTCCAAGCCACTTTTTTTGTTAGTCACTTATTTCATAAGTTCCAGAGAGAGATGTAATCTGGGGGCCAAATTCTGAGGCATGAGTTCTCTCCAGAGCTTATGGCTTCCTAATAGAGACATCAGTTATTATCTCTCTGTTAGTCTCCTAGTTAGACATCTGCTTGCAAGGTGCTATTTGTGGATGTTGCTTGCAGTTGTGCATGCATTTCCAGCATAAACCTCACTGAGAGCATAACGGGGCACTTCTGTCATTAGAATGAATTTCCTTTATACTGTCAAGTGAATGCAGATTATGCTGAGTGATGGTGAACTTTGTATTCTTATTGGTTTTTCTATTAGCCAAGTGTGATAGAGAAGAAGCTGCAGGAAGGAGAATCTGCTGGCACTTTGGTTACTTCTCATCAAATCATTATCCAGAAAAGTATCCCATCATCCCTAGAGGTTATTTTTAATTCATTCGATTTTAAACTAGCACATTTGCTTAGTTAAATACAGAAGTTGTGGTCTTACGGTCAAATAACTGGATGCTGATTGCATAGCCAAAGCAAATCACGTAGCATATTTGCATGAAGAGGAAAAAAGATGCTGCATTAAGTTCAGTTCGGTATCGATAGTAGTATGGCATTTACTGTGTTGTACTACTCAATTCAAACAATGCTGAAGGGGGGTGATGTTATTCTAATGAAAACACGGAAATTCAGTGCAGGCTACAGCTACATACAAATGCATACTATTCTAAAACCTCAATGGCAGTGTGTGTGTCACAACTGGGGAACAGTTGAATGGGCTTATTTGCCGGATTTTTACGATTTGGTTTTGACTGTAGCATTATGAGCCATGGCGATACATTATTTTTAACTTCAGGATGATTCCAATCATCGTTTTGAATGATGCACTGAAACGCTACCCTGCTTCAAAGTACTGCAGAAATAGTGTGGCAAAAGTAACTTTTTGTGTCCACATTATATGGGTGTCTAAGGGGAGGGAATCTGCAAAGGAATCATCCTTTGCCTAAGGTGATGCTGTTTGTTTGTTTGATAGCTGCTCTAAGAGGTACAATGGTAAAAGTTATTACATGCTTTCGAAAGAGGTAGCGTTGATTTCTTAAAAGTCTTCATGCTTTAGTGCTCCTGAAGTAGAGATAAACCTTCAGGTATTCTAATTTAGCTTTTATATCTCAAATATAGGGCACTGAGGATTGGGTTATTATAGACAAAATACCCTCTGAGGTAGTTGATGGTGAATCGAAAAAAAAAGTGGCATACAAAGTAGTGACTGTGAGCAGTAAAGCTGCCTTTCCACCTGAGCTATTAAAATCCAGTACCATTCTGACGCAGAGCTTTGAGGACTTGGAAAGTGAAATACAATCCAAAGAGGAGAATAAGCAGAAAATGTTCACCCTAGGAAAGTCCTATGATACCGTATCCGGGAAAATTGTAACCATGACAAGTAAAGCTAAAGAGGGTGAGAAAGCAGTACAGCCCTCAGTGCAAGCTTTGCAAAAAGTGGAAAGGGAAGTGCAAGAATCAGTGAAAATCATTCCGGTAGTGGCCGAGTACGAAATCCTCGAGCCTGTCCCTGATGAGAAAGCCAGGCGGGGATCCGACGTGCAGAGCACGAAAAGAAAGCTGTCCGACTCTCTGACACCCATAAAGGAAGCAGAAGCTCAGTTGCGAAGTCCCGAAGAGGAGAGCTTGAAAAAGACGCTAAAGATGGACCAGGATTTGCAGTTACATGGTACACTGGGAAGCGTGCAGCTTGGCAAAGCAGAAAAGCACCTTGGCAGTGAAGCTGCAAAAGCAGGGGCGTTTGCCCGGAGAGATAAGAGCCTGTCTGAGTGGAGATATTCCAGAGAACAGCCATTTACCATTGCTACTGCTCACTATGTTACCGAGTCGTCTGCGTCAAAAGTAGTGGTAACAAGTGGCTTTGACTTCATGCCACGGTTTACAGATTAAAGCATGACTTCTTTTAGGCAATCCCCTCACACCACCCTACCTTTTGGTTCTCCTGCTGCCTGGCTTTATGTTGACAGCAGCCAACCCAGCTTATTTTTTTTCCCCTCATCCTTTGAATCCGTCCCACGGTCTGAAGCAGACGTTATATAAGGCTTTCAGCCTTTCTGGTTTATTTAAAGATCCATGTTACTGAAATGTAGTATTGCTGCTGTGGCTTGTTAATAGAAGGAAAAAAAAAGGTTTGCTTGAACCAGCAAAATGCCAACGCTAACAACTATGCTTCGTAACTACTGCTTACTACAGCCATTGTGAATTTGCTCTGATTTATTTTCCCATTCTTTTCCTGTTTTCCAACCTCTCCGTGCCCCCGCAAACCTTCTCTCCCTTCCCTCCGTCTCTGCCTCCAGTTTTGGCAATTAATATGTCTGTGCATGTGGGCCTGCCTTTCTTCTGTGTATGACTCTACATTTCTTTGTCTATTTAGACTAAACAGTCCACCGGTGAAAAAACCTTGGATGGTTCAGATATCTTCAGTTTAATAGAGTCCGCCAGAAAACCGACTGAGTTCATAGGAGGGGTTACTTCTACTTCACATAGCTGGGCTCAGGTGGCCATTTGATTCCCTCCATCAATGTTATAACTGCACGCCGATTACTTTTGCTTTTCTTTTGTTTCCTGGTTTTATGCATAACATGGAACCTATATAACCAACGCATGTATCAGTGTGCCTTTTCCTTTTTGCTATAGATCACAATACAAATGTCACTGAAAAGAAAAACAAAAAAAAAACCCCAGGTTTTGTCTCATTTCACTTTATTTTGGTCATTTTGCAGGGTGCTATATTTTGCCTTTATAAAACTCACGCAAAAATACCAATGAGAAAAACACTGTGGCATTCCTCTTCACTTCTAAAAATTGTGATTCTTGCTTTGTCTTCTGTTTCTTCTATTCTGATAATGTCCTGAGAGCAAAAATCCATGCAACGTGAGAGAATAAATTGGCAAAATGCAACACCTATTTTTTTTTATTTATGTTCACAGTGCATTACGCTGAGGACAATACACTGCTGTTGCAGGTAGTGTTGTCTGCTTCTGACGCTGAGGGTTTGGGTTTTTTTTTTTCTCCTTCCCTGCAGAGAATAGACACGACAACATCTCAGGAGATAACTTCCAGTGAAATGAAGCAAGCAGTTCAGCCGCCCCAGGATACAGTGAAGAAGGTTGTACAGGAGACGGTGGTTATTGAGGAGAGGCACGGGATGAACGTGCATGCGAGTGGGGATCCTGCTAAAGCGGCCGGACTTGTGCTGGATGCCCAGGCTGAGGCAGCGCTGGCTGCTGGCATGAAAGGGAAGGAGGGCTCTGCTGGGACTGAGGGGGCAAAGGAGGAAAAAAGGGAGGAGGCTGGGAAAGCCCAAACCAAACAGGACGGAGTCGCTGCGGCTGTGTCTGAGCAAGCGGAGGAGCACAGTACAACGGTCCACCTTTCAGAGTCTTTGGAAAGAAAACCTCATTTTGAGGTAACTCGTTATTAAATGGATCGTGTCTGTGCTGAATCATAAATGTAGGCAGTAGTGGACTAAGTTAATTCCTCTCATGGAAAGCAAAGCATCCCAAGCTTTTACGATTGCATCTCTACAGCAGGCAGTTTGTTCCTCCTCTTATTTCCTCCTTGCATGGCACCTGCAAGGCTTGTTGCTGGTTTCCAGTATTGGCAAAATGCCATGCATATTTTCCCTAAAAGCGCTTTCCATGCTACAGAGAAATACCTGATTTGGTGACTTCTAATGCCATAGTTAAAAAGAATTCAGCTGGCATTCTCTTTGGGAAAGTCCATCAAGAGTGGCAAAGTTCACATGTCCTCAAAGACAGAAAATGCATTTTTTTCCATACTTAGTACAATTATAAGTAAGTGTACTGTGTCTTAAACAACCCAGGTTCCTTATCTTAGCCCCATTAGCAGAATTTCAAGAATTATTTTGCAGAGAGGTTAGAACAAAACTTGTTCTTGCTCTTTTTTTCTGACAGCTGACTAGAAAACTAAACCTGAGTAGGATTTGTTCTCTTGTCATTTTAAGAAAATTTATAATCCCAGAATGGCTGAGGTCAGAAGGGGCCTCTGGAGGTCATCTGGCCCAACCCCGCTGCTCAAGCAGGGACATCCAGAGCCACTTGCCCCAGTGCCATGTCCAGATGGCTTCTGAACATCTCCAAGGTTGGAGGCTCCACCACCTCCCTGGGCAACCTGTGCCAGTGCTCAGTCACCCTTAGAGTAAAAAAGTGTTTCCTGATGTTCAGAGGGAACCTCCTGTGTCTCAGGCTGTGCCCATTGCCTCTGGTAGTGTTCTGAAGTTAGTTTTCACAAAATCCAGGATGGTGCTAAATGTTGCCAGCATTACATACATAGATGTATCTTTATAATGAAGAGAATTTTCTCTTTTCTTTTTTTTTAAATGCAGAGCCCTTTTTATTTGTTCCCCCTCCTTTTCTCAAGAAAAAAAAAACACCAACCCTACAAACTATTCTGAGAAATCCAGAAGCTTTACTAAATGTTCCAATTCCTTTTTTTGTTCACACAGTCACCAGTTGTGAAGACTGAGACTATCAGTTTCAGTAGTGTTTCTGCTGGGGGGGAAAACCTTGAAATTTCAACAAAGGAAGTGCCAGTAGTCCATACAGAAACAAAAACCATTACGTATGAGTCTTCTCAGGTAAGAAATTCTGCAGAACCCAGGGTCTAATTTAACGTGGCCTTAAGGAACGCATCTTTCTTCACCTATCTTTAAGTGTATGTCTTAGTGTAAACTGTTCTAAGCTGTTCAGGTATTAAATATTAGCATGAGGGGGACACACATAAGTATAGCTTACCTGAGGGTGACTCTCACATCCTCATGTAGGGCCCATTGAGAACATCGATGAAATTACAGGTGTCAAAGCCCCAGCTTCTCATCTGTCCTTCCAGAAGCAAAGAGGAGTCTCCAGATGCAGAGAGAACTACTGACACACGATCACCCTAATAGCAGTTATTTCCCTACCATTAGATACTCACTTTATGAAGAACTGTAGAAAGAGGGAAGTTCAGCCAGCCCGGTTCTTGCCTCCCTGTGCTCAGGAGCATGTTTCTGATGACTGGCTTTCTCTTTTGGTTCCCTAGGTGGATTGCGGTGCTGACTCAGAACCAGGTGTATTGATGAGTGCACAGACTATCACATCTGAAACTACCAGCACTACAACCACTACACATATCACCAAAGTGAGTCCTCAGAAAACAGGGAGGGTTCTTTTCACAAGGGTGTATGTTTTCTTAACTTCAATTCTATTATTTATTTTAAAATGCGGACACATGCTTATATTCTCGGGGCAAAATCCTGTCTATTTTGGGTACCTATCTTCATTCACCTGTCTTTGGGTTTACTGGCTTCATTAACGTATCATTCAAGGACTTGATAAGAGTCGTGAAAGTCATAAAGCCTTAGGGTATGTCTACACAAGCACAAAACTGTGCAGAGACACTTGAGTTAGCTGCAAATACTGTCTGGAACTGGAAGCAGTGTAGCCACGTTGGCATCATGTGGTAGCCAGGAAGGAAGAATTTGCCTGAGAGTAGGGCTCCATTGACATGGCTATATTGCCTGAGCTGTTATCCCTGCATGGTGTTGAAAACATAGAGTAAATCTGTATCATGTAGTCATAACGGGATGTTCAGTCAGCTCAGATGCTGCGGTCGCATTGCTGGCTGGTACCCTAAGGAACTTGCCCACAGACAGACAGAAAGCTTATGGCCGCACAGACAAATGATGTTGGGTCTTCCAAGTTCAAAGATAGCATCTAAATAACAGTTCCTCCCTAAGTAGAAACCCTCTTAGTGCCATGACAGCTCTCCTACCAATCTTCACTGAGGGCAGGATTTCATCCTTCTGCAGTGAAATTCACCCTTCAGTAGATGAGCTGTACAAAAGCCGTGCCACCCTGTATGTCCTTCTGAAGCCTGCAGTTGGACTTAACTAGGTCGCAATAGGAGCTGTCTGCATGGCCATTCTTTTCTTCCTGGGTTGAATTTACCGTAAATACCTGCCACTTTTGACATACAAATACCTCTCCTGACATGTGTGCAGATTGATTAGAATCATAAAATTATCTGTGTTGGAAGGACATCTGGAGGTCATCCAGTCCCTTCAGAGCAGGCCAACTTCAGAGCTGCTCCGGTTGCAGTTCAGGGTTGTCCCCTCTGTGTGTGCAGTTTGAGAGAGTTCAGTCCAGTCACATCTGGGTTCCTGCACTGATCACTCTCTGGATGAATAGCAGCACTTTTTAAATAAGTTACTGACATGCGTTTGTCCCTCCCATCTAGACTGTGAAAGGAGGCATCTCAGAGACAAGAATTGAAAAACGAATAGTCATCACAGGAGATGCAGATATTGATCATGATCAGGTAAAGTCTGTAAGCTGCTAAAGGCTACCCTGGAGACTGCCAAAGAGAACATTTCTTAAACATTGCTTTAAAAGATACTGTTCATAGTGGCATGTCTGAAATTAAACTGGATTAGTAGTTAAATCAGTGATGGTATATTTCATATTTTAATCATTTTCCTCATTTGTAAATTGTGTAATATCTCATGAATCTCTCCACCTTGCTACTGATCATGCATGTTCCACCTCCTTTTTGTTTTTGCCCTTCTGTGGTTTCCTTGGGATAGGCGCTGGCTCAGGCAATTAAAGAAGCCAAAGAGCAGCACCCTGACATGTCAGTGACCAAAGTAGTGGTACATAAAGAGACAGAAATCACACCAGAAGATGGGGAGGATTGACCGCAGGTAAGAGGACTAGATGATTTTCCTAGGCATTTACTGGGCTGGCATGTTGCAAAGGTTGTTTTCCTACCATAATTCACCTCTAACTCTTTGCTTTCTCTCGCTGGCATTTGCAAGTTGCATTTGTGCTGGTTATCAGTTCTGGTATGTGAATGCAAACCACATTCAGCTCTAAACGTCTTTCTTCATTTAAGGGTGCCAGCTGGAGAAAGAGAAACTGCTCATTTGCTTTTGTTGGCTCTCTGGAAAGTCCTCATTGTCCATGCTTTGATATAGTCTAATCTTCTAATTCTGAAGTAAAAAAAAAAAAAAGTCTGTTGTCTGCTTTTATGTCATTTAAGAACAAAAATAGTTTGTTCTTAAAGGTATGCATTTTGTTTAAAAATGCCAGGGGAAAAACCTACAGCTGCTTTTCAAATGTCCCGTGCAGATATGTTACAAGTTAAGCTTTAATTCCTAACTTGCAAAGATATGGTCCAGGTTGCTTTTGATTTTTCTTTTGAACCCAGTGAATTAGTATGTTGGTATTTGGATGTCTTGGCTTTCTTGTATTTGAAAGAATATTTTATGTTTTAAAGCAGCATTGTTTATCAGGATGAGATGATGATAATGCAGCTTTTCTTGTGTCAAGCTTTTTTTCAGTAAAGGCATGCTCTCCAATTGTGGCTGGATAAACAGACGTCTTAATATTACTTTATTTATTCTGTGTGCAAAAACATGTCATGCATACTAACCTGCTATGCAAAAGCTGTTAATGCCAGCACCATTGCACAAATTGCTTTGAATGCGGTATGCAGAAGGAAAAAAAAAAGGTGCTTGTCCGATTTGTCTAAGTTGATAGCAGTGTTTTATTCTTAAAACGATATATATTCCCTAACATTCGGTATAAATAATGGAGTATGATGCACAGCACCTTTTGAAGCTGTTTTGCTCTCCCGCTTTTGGATATAGAGACCCTAAAGAAAACTGAATTTCAGTATCTGTTATTTATTTGGAAGGTGGAACCAGTCACTGAGGAGTGAGTAAGCTGTGATCCTTGTGGTATTCTGCTAAGCGTTTCAGAGACAATGTAATGTGGCTTGCTTGAAAGTCTCGATGTCACTAATTCCTCCCACTGGCATCAGTGGATTTTGGATTTGGGCCGATGATGCCGTTTTCAAATAGCTTTTGTTACACAAACAAATTGACAAAAATCTCTTTTGCAAGAGAGTAGTTGCTTCAAATAATTCTGTTCTCTTTCCTGCAGGAGTAACCTAGATTGCATATGAATTCAGACATGCACACCAGTAGGAATACGAGAGCCTATACGGAGTCTCAGTTCCAACCTGACTGACTTGTATCTGTCTATGGAAAATTTCAGTACAGAAGAATTGATCTTGACCGTTAATAAAGAAACTGGCAGAGATACCTTCCCATAGAAAGCAATCTGAATCAGCAGCAGTTAAACAATATTGCATGAAGCAACGATAAAATTACAGAAAAGCAGCATTTTTAATTTTCTTAAAATGTCTAAGTTTTCAGCTATACCTGCACGTTCATAAACAATATAAACAGTGATCTCATGTAACACATAAACAGTTCATGCCTTTCACAGTTTATGAAAGTCTAAACAAATTAAAATTTGTTAGGTGGCAAGCCTTTTGTTTACAGATATTGTAAATGAAGATTACCCCCAAAATGCTAGAAGCTGTATAGGTACTGTGTATAATGTTTTACCACACATTAGATGTGCCAATAACACAGTTTATTCAGTAAACAACTTGAATCTTATATTTGTTTCATCTGGTTTTATTACTGCCCGATAAACGATGACAAATCTTTACTCTTATCAAAATATTTAAATGCTTACAAAGTGTGCTTTGTATACCTGACTGAATACCTTATGAGGTAGTAATGATTTTAGTATATTAACTTTAACGATTTTTGTCAGCGTTGTTCAGAGTCAGCTTCCAGTCACCCTTCACAGATCCTAACCTTGTAAATTATATGTAGTTATTTTGGAGAAAAAAAATCTGTATTTTACTTAGTTTGCAGCATTAGAAAATTATTAATCTGAAATAACCGTGATGGTTTTCTATTGATTTCCCTTTTGTTCTCAGAGGAAAAAAAAGGAGAAAAAAAAAAAACTTTGTTTGAAAATCTGGTCAGCATTTACTATCTAGTTCAGAGTCAAGCCTTAACCTGTACAGAACGTCCATTGAAAACTCGTTAGTGTCCAGCTATAATACCCACCGAAGGGATAGCGTCCATTACACTGTCAGCTGCATCACAACACATGGTGAATGTATGTTTCTGCATAGTGAAATAAAAGTGGTAAATGCATCCAAAATTGTATTGTTCTGTGTCTAAAAGCACCTAGTGTTTTTTAATATTTAAAATGTTAAGTTACGTTTGTAAGACACCACAGGTTTTACTCATCTGCACAGTAGACACGTTTTGTCTTCAGCGGCTGATGCTGCGCTGTGCAGACAGTTGGCGTTAGCGGAGCATCCAAAGGGATGACAGTGTTCACCTTTGGGCAGATGATGTTTGCAAAGGAAAAGGATTATTGGTTCCTTCTGTTGTCTCTGGCTGTGTACCGTTTCACCGAAGCTAGAGGAAGGATTTTGTGGTTGCTTCAAAAGTAAAGGCCAGTAGCGCTTGATCCAGACCCACTCTCTTTTTGTACTCTTGCTCTGAAACATGGATAAAATTCTCTTTAAAGCAGTACTTACTTATCTGTTCCTTTTTCTTGCTCCTTTGCCACATCTCGTTGATGCTCCCCTAGTAGTTCAAGAGAAATTCGGAACAATTAATTCACCCTTCAATCTGTATTTCCTTGCAGGATTGAAAGCAATGGGTACAAACAGACTTTTCAGGACATAAAGGGCCAAATTTGCCCTTCGTTGTTTACACAGGGCTCCCTCACATTGGAGTCAATGGATTTGGCTTCAGTGGAAAGCAGGATTTGACCCAGTGACTTGTTAATAAAGGTTTATTTTCTTAATTTAGAAAGAAAAATAGTATATATAGAGAGAATAACCTGTAGATAATAATTAAAAGTAATATCCCAAGGCTTTTAAAGCTTTGCCCTTAGTCTCTAAAATGTCTTCCTTCCACCAGCCATTCTTCATGCCTTTAATCCAGAGTGCTAACTATGTAACTTCCCCCTGCCGCCGTCATTGCTTACCTCTCGCCTAATGACCAACGCAAAGATTACGGTCTGTTGTGATCTTTGATTGACCTCTCCTCCTCCTAGTCCAAGAGCATCTATGTTCTTAGCCCTCTCGGTGATGATAGGCTCAGCTCTCTGGTGCTGCCAGTGCCCGGCAGCAGCCAGGGGTGGAGGAGGTACTGGCCCAGTGTCGCAGCAGACGGCATGCCAGGTTCTTGCTACTGCATCAGGAGTTTAAAAATAGACTCTGAAGCCATATTGATCTTCCCTCAGGTGCCCCTCATGTTGTCAGCTAAGAAACAGCATTGTATTACCTCAGAGAGACATGAGGCGATTGCACAGCCTTCTCTCCAGAGTTAGCGTTCTATTTTAGCATGGCTTGAGGAGATTGTACTTTGGTGATACTGCACAGTATGTACGCTGTCTAAAGATATTGTATCGTAAGAAGTTAGGCTCCTTGGAAAGGACATTCACAGCTAAGATACGGCCTAAGCGTATGCAAACTATGAGGAGATGAGAGTGGACAGGCAAGGACATCTCAGTGCCACTGTTGGCAGTAGACCCTTGTTTGAGGGATGGTTCCTGGAAGTGATAGCTTTGGTTTTTGTTAGAAACTGTTTCTTGGGTTGTCTGCCTAATGCTGTGCCACATGAAATAAAGAACACCTGCCTGTTTCTACCAACCATCTTTTGTCTCCGTCTCTTCTCATTTACTGTTGGTCTTTGTCCGGCTCCTCGACATAAGAAAGCTTAGAAAACAAACGATCAAATACCGTGTTGCTTGAAAGCACCGTTACCAACACAGACACCAAGTTGTTACAACTGGAGTCACAGCTTCAGCCCCGTGGGAACTGGCTGCTCTGCACCATTGAGGTAAGGGGCCAGGATGGCCAGGCAGGGCTTTGCACAGCAGGCAAGAATGGGCGTAGCAAACAGTCACAGCAGTTATAGAATCGTTAAGGTTGGAAAAGACCTTTAAGATCATCAAGTCCAACTGTTAACCTAACCCTGCCATCCCACCACTAAACCATGTCCCTAAGCACCTCATCTGCCCGGCTTTTAAATACCTCCAGGGATGGGGACTTGACTTCCCTGGGCAGCCCCTTCCGATGCTTGACAACCCTTTTGGTGAAAAACTTTTTCCTAATGTCCAACCTAAACCTCTCCTGGCACAAATTGAGGCCATTTCCCCTTGTTCTATCGTTTGTTACTTGGGAGAAGACACCCAGATACAGAAGGAATTAATCATCTTGGCATTTGTAAGGCTGTTTGGAATCACTTAACATTTATCCCTCCAAAGTTTCTAAGGCTGTCTCATCACAAATGGCAAGTAATGGTGTTCTGTGCTCAAGCATATAAAAAAAAATAATTAATGGGCCTCTCAATCCAGATATTAGATCAAAGCAAGGGTTTAACAGCTTAGTCTTATTTCTTCCCAGAGCATATTTAGGCAGCTGATGAGATGATGGGGTTCACCTGTACCACAATTCATATCTGCTGAAATTGCAGTTCCTTAGAAATAGTTCTTCATGGCAAATAAATTGGACATTAAGTCCAAGCTTCAGTTTTGGCAAATGCCCTGGCAAATCTTGCTGCAGATTTCTTGCCTTAACACAAAATAGTTCTGTCAGTTAAGATCACAATTTAGGCCCCTTTACAAGCTTCAACTTTACATCTTCCCTCTTCACAGGTAGTAAGGGTGAGGTGAAGAAATGTGTTCCCCTTTTTTATATAGAAGCAATAATGTCCAGGTTCTGCAGAGCTAGGAACCAAACCTTAATTTTTAATCATTTTTCCTAGTCTAGTCTATTAGAAGTTTGTGACATGCCTGATGCAATGCTGAG